CCCATCCCGTCCCCCCAAAACCCGTCCCATCCCGTATATATAGTGGGACGGGATGAGACTTATTTTTGTCCCCCCAATCCCGGTCCCGGCAAAATCCCCCCAGCCCCGTCCCCCTTCGTCCCGTCCCCCAGTCCCCATCCCCGTCCCCTTGCCAGCCTTACCCCATGGAAATATTTCAAAGTAATAAATAAATATTTTTGATCCATTTTCATAATTACTGTGTTCTCACATTTGATAGGTGCGTGGATGAGTTAAAATACACCCCCAAATCCCTGTAAATATGTCGCGTGGCATCAACAATTTGAAATTTATTCTTTATTAAAAGACTCACTTCTCATCTTTTTCGTAACCTCCATTGATAGATGTTGAAGAGTTTTCCATCTACAATTGAGAAAAAAAAATCATCCTCAATGAAATTTTCATATAGCTTTACTAGCTTCAATTTCCTCTCTTTTATTTTATTTTATTAAAAGTTATGATATCAACTAAGTTGTAATTCCTAAAAGTGCAATTGCAAATAAACTTCAAAACTAAATCAGTGAAGAAACATTCAAACTTAAATCAATCCTAAACTAACACTACATACACATAAATAATAAATATCACAAGGAGAAAATAACAACAAATTACTATAAAGATGATTTTTCAAAAAATCACCACTACATAAAAAGAACATTTATTTAAACCAAAATTTGCATTCAAATTAAGTAGCAATTAACATGTGATCCTTCACTTCTTCGTTTTGACTCCATAATTCAAAAAATTATCACCACAAAATAAATTTATTGTGACTATTGAAATGCTTAGGGTTTTGATCACTAAAGAGAGAGAGAGTAGAGTGAAAATCTGAAAGGAATTTAGGGCTAAACGGAGCGGATCATGGTTAAAATGTGAACGAGTCAAGATTTTGTCCAATTTTTATTAAATGGGTCAGAAAAATATATTATTTGGGGTGAGACGCACGCTTAGGCATTGAAAATGAAGATTGTGTAAAAAATGTGTATTTATTGTGATTTTGAAATGTTTTACGGGATAATAGAACACTCGCAAAATTAAGATGTTTTTTTGAAAATTCGGGACAACTTCTGGAGTTACTTTATGTATTTTCTCTAAATTTAAAACTAAAAGTAGGTCTTTCCTACTTTTTATTTTTTTGACTTAAAAGTTATTTAAGTTTATATTTTTATTTATGACTTGAAAGCTATTTTTTTTAAGTTAATCCAAACAGACTTTTAATCAACGATTTAATAATCACTAAATAGTAAGCTTCATTTATATACCTAATTTTTTGTCAGAAAATCTCTCTATTACTCCTAACATTTTGTTTGGATGGTTATATTTTTAATTTAAATACAATGTTTGTTTTAAAAGCTATTTTTATTATATTATATAAATTTATCATCAAGTAACGACGATAGTGTCATTTTGTGTGAAGAACTGATTTGGTGTGATTACATTATTATCTTAATGTTTTCTTCTCATTTCATCTTAATTTATGATTTAACAATTCAATTTTATGCACCACCCTATCTTTGCCTAGTAATTTTACTCCATACCCTACTTTTCTTATGGGTTTATTATTTAAATTATTAATGACGATGTGTGACAATATGTAACGATGGAGAACGATACAATCATTCTAAAATGATATATTCATTAAAATAATACAATACAACACAACATAATATGATACATTATGAAATAATACGTAACAACCATCCAAATAGAGTGAGTAGCCGAAAAAACAGAAAAGAAAAAAAAATTACAAAGTGAAAATAATATTTGAAAATTGAACTTATGTTTATTCATGAAATAAAACTGTGTTGTTTAAAAATTTTGTGAAATGATTTTGGAGTGAAAATAGTTTTTTGTTATTTTTTAAAATTATTGAACATTCTTGAAAATAAGTAAAAAAATTATTAGAATTTTATGGCCAAATATTATTTCCGAAGTTAAAAAATTCTTCCAGGTCAAATGCACCCTGAAAACTGCACTCTGAAAATTAAGAAAAAACAAATACTTAGGGGTCATTTGATTTGAGGATGCATTGGATGAATTATAATAGTTGAATTATATTGTTGAGATTAGGGATCTTTAGTGGGTAGATTGAACAATAAATATAAAATGAATTGAGTTAATAAATAAATGGGTCATCTATTCATGTAAAAGTTATTTGAACTTAAATTAAATGATTTGAATTGACCATAATAACTTGTTATGTGTAATTCTTATTAAGTTTAAAATTATTTATTTGTTGGGTTTCTTACGTAAATGCATCCTTGGTCAAAATTATTTTCAATTAAAATGATTGGATAAACATGTAATATATTGATATTGAAATCTTTTTATCAATTCTGATAAGTTCAAATCACTTTTAAGGAAGGAGATTTTTTTTTTTTTGACATGGAACTTCGTGAATCAAAACCTCGATATTGGAGCGTGGATATTAAATATAGGAGCTCAACAAGGTGTGCATCGATCAGTTCGATTTTTGATTTTCTAAATAAGCTAAACCAATAAGATATACTTTATCGGTTTTTGGTCATTAACGATTCGATTTTCGGTTAACACAATAAAAAAATGCTCCTAATATAAGTATGATTTCTCACTTCTCTAACAATTTGGCACGATACAGTAAGACAAACAAATAAGTTGTAAATGGTGAAACAAGAAATATAATGAGAAATTGCATGTTAATGGGTTATCAATTTATTAACAACTCAAGACTAAAAATCGATACCAAACCGATAACCCAATATTTTTTTTTATAAAACCATTAAAATCCCATTAACATAACAATGACCCCATAACATTTTTTTCGGTTCGATTTTTGCACATTACATCAGTAGACAAAGAATTGAGATGGATCCAACTCAAAAACCGTATAAAGATGAATCTTAAATTTAACTTAATCTTAAAAATTATTTTGAATTATTCAAGTCCATATAAAGAGATTAATTTCTTATTCTGTGTGATTGGAGTTGGAACATATTCCGTTTCTAAGAGGGATTTTAGGCCTTACCGGCCTGTATTTCATTAGTATGCGGACTGAAATAAACCATAAATGTAATCAAGGTAGTTTATGGTTGTATACCATTTGAAGTTCCATGTGTTAAACTAGCAGCTGGTGTAAATTAATAATTTTTATGCAGGGGCGGAATCACCTTGTACTAAGGGGGTTTCAACAGAAAATTATATTATTTATATATGATTAAAATAATTTTTTATGTATATATATTAGATGTTGAACCCCCTTCGATCACTTCGTGTGTTTTTATAGATTTTGAACCCTTTTATTGAAAATTTTGACTTCGTCACTATTTTTATGTGCATGATTAGCATATATAATACGTACATTTTCACTCATTATATGGTTATAATGATATGAACCAGTGTCAAATAAACCAGGCAAATTCAAAGTTTAAATTTAATGGGTCTAATGTTATATTATTTTTTTTAAAAACAATTGAGTTTAATTTTAATATTTATAATACTTTTTTGATATTTTCACACATTATCTTTTTGGTATTATAAGAATCGACGAAGTTATTATTATTATTATTATTATTGACTATCTTTACTTTTTTACTATTAGTATTTTTTTTTCCAATATTTTTATCATAGCTTATTTACTTCTTTTTTTAAAAAAAATAAACCTATTTTGAAAATCAATTTTCTTAAGTTGAGTATTTACCGAAAGTAACCTCCTAACATACAAAAGTAGGAATAACATTTTTATATTATTCATCATTCTTGAATTTCACTCGTAAAACTGTACTGATACGTTGTTATATTGGGGAGGTAGGACCAAGTTCTAGAATTTCTTTCCCCTTCAAGTCTATAATGAACTTTTCTCCAGTAACTTTTGGAATCTTGTACTTATAATCATGTATTATATTATAATATATCAGATATGATATTAACATTTTTCATAGAGTTGATGGGTTGAAATCAGATGAGGTACCACAACCAAATTGGATGACTAAATTATTATTATTATTAAGCTTAGGTGAGTGCGTTGTCTCAGGTCAATCGAACAACAATATTGTTGATGCTTGTGCAGAAAAATGATGTAACAATAATATAAGTTAGAATCTATTAGCACAATTTTTCACTTTAGTAAGCTCGTGTTTGTCTTATTTGTCAAGTTATTAATCTCAACTTTTATGATCAGATAATTGTAAAGTTTAGATGATTTGTAAGTATAATTATTATTTTATTTTTTAAAAAGATAATAAATAGACGATAGATATATAGTTCTGAAATTAATCAAATTGATTTGTTAAAATAAACAAGACGATGTATATATATATATTTATTTTATAAGCACAAAGCTTAAGTCTCACTACTCTATTCTCCTTCTTTTTTAGTTGAAAAGAATATTATGTTTTTATATTAAAAACCAATTTAACTTTTTTTTTAAAAAAATTATTTTATTTTATTTTAAATCATTTTTTAGATCTATAATGCGACATAAATTAAGGACGAAAGAGATGCAAAAAAACGAAGGGTCAAGAAACGATCCAAGGTACCAATGTCAATTTCTATGTCATTGCTTAGCACATTAAATATGTCAATTTCTATATTTGTTCGTGTGCATTTAACTCCTCCCATCCATCTTTAGTAGTGGACTATAAATTAAAAGCATAATATATAAAAATATCTTTTAATTTCAGTTTTGATTAACATAATTTTATATGTGAATAAATAAATATTAAAATTTGTATAAAACTGAATAAATAGACACACACGTCCAATGTAGCATAATATATCACGTATGATGTGAATTGACATGTAGGATGTGTGTGTGGTATGTCTACTTATATTCAAGTTTATATAAGTTTAAATATCTATTTGTGCACACCCAAACTTAGAGGTCATATAGATGTCAATCAAGACCAAGTTATATGATATGTTAATGTGTTATGCCAAAGATATATGTTAATTTTAATCTTAACTTTGAACCACTAAGGGGTCGTTTGGTACAAGCATTGATAATGTAGGGATTAGTAACGCAAAGATTAGTAGTGCAAACATTATTTTTTGTCAAGTGGTTGGTTCATTGCTTTCCACTTGATCTTGTGTTTAATTTAAAACTCTACCAAAAAAATTTTCCTATTATACCCTTGTGTTATTATGAGATTGTTTATTTCATGTAATTGGGTCAAGATAGATAACCGTCGAACAATATTTTTTTATTTTGTAGGATTATCTATTCCATTTAACTAGTTAAGTTATATATATATATTAGTTTTAAGGTGTGATGTACCACTAAGGAGATCCTTGATGACACGGTGTATTTCTAATTTTTGTTGGTCAAATATATCTTAAACTTAACATAGATTTAAGACTACTTAAATTGTTCAATACCTAAAGCTTATAAAAAAAAACAAATAACTCAAGTGGTTAATCGATAAACTACCTTGAATAAAAAAAATTAAAAAAAATATTAGTGAAATCATTAAATTACACTAAATGGATTTGGAGATTTAAAAATAACATTTTTAACCAATTCAATAAAAATAAAAAGGAAATTAAATTACAAAAAAAACTTAGGAAAATGAATAAGGGGATAGTTTGGATTAGTTATCCCTTCATTTTCTAGGGATAAGATAAGACCACATATGGTGGATAAACAATCTATGGATTAAATTAAATAAAGTAACCAAATAAACTAAATTTTAATCCATGTACTATTTCATTTAATACCACCTACCAAACGGATCCTAATATGTTTTATCCCGCTAAAAGTGAGTGACAGGCGGCATAAGAAACTGAGAATCTGGGCATTGCTTCACTGTAATAACAAAGGCATTGTGCCGTGTGTTCCACTTCAGCTAACTGCTAAGTCCATAAAACAAAAAAGGAAAATTGAAACATAGAGAAGAAAAAAATGAAAGCAAATACGAGTGGTAGGTGAATAACGACACCTATAATACAACTCTCTCTCTCTCTAAAATTTGTTTTGTGATGAATATGGATTCGATTCTCTGTGATGAACTTCTTCAAGAAATATTCCGCCGCCTTCCTCCGCCGTCCGCCGCCGCTGTTTCATTAGTCTGTAAGCGGTGGCTTCATCTTCTTCGCTCTTCAACTACTTCTCTTTCTGTCTGTTTAATTGAACCCCCTTTTATCCCTCTTTTCTCCTCTTTTCTCAGTTTTCATCCTTTTTTGTCTACTGTTTCTGTTACCATTACACCTACAGTAGATTCGTCCGATCAATTGCTTAATTCCGTTGCTTCTTCTTGCCCTAATCTCCGCCATCTCCGATTCTTGAATGGTCCTGTTTCTACTTTATCTCTGTTTTCTCTTTCTGTTTCTTGCCCTAATCTTGTTTCTCTTGCTGTAACTCTTTTTAGACCCCTTTCTTTTCTCTGGGTACCCCCTTTTGGGTGTCTTAAAGAACTCTCAATTTACCCAGCTGGAAATTCAGGGGAATTTGATTATGGTGACTTTTATGGTTCTTGTGAGTTGAATTTGGAGAGTCTTTTGTTGACTGGAATTAAATCAGGGGATAAGGGGGTTGGTTTTTTATGGAGGAATTGCAAAAAGGTGACAACTTTGAAGCTGATAAGCTGTGAAGAGGTTGGTGATCAAGGTTCTTTTTTAGGATTTCTTCAGTGTTTAGAGGGTCTTCAAGAATTGGAATTGAGAACTTGTAGGACAATTGCTGATGGGGTTTTGTTGAAATTGGCTGAGAATTGTGACATGTTGAACTCTTTGTTGGTCTATGATGGTGGTAGTAAAGAGGGGTTGTTTCATTTCTTGACCCAAAGCAAATGTGGTAATTTGCAGAATCTTGATTTAAGGTTGCCTCTTGATCTTGACAACAATCATTTGACAGCTGCTGCTGAAAATTTAGGGAGTTTGAGGAGTTTGAGGTTACAAAGTTGTTGTCTTGTTACTGGTGAGGGGCTAAAGATTCTTGGAAATGCTATGGCTGATGGGCTTGAAGAATTGGCTTTGATAAATTGTGATGTAGTGGAAAGAGAATCAGGTTTGTTGACTACATTAGGACAAGATTTGAAAAGATTAAGGAAATTAGACTTGTCTTTTAATGACATGTTACTTGATAAAGAACTGATATCAATGCTAGTATCTTGCAACAGTCTGAATGAATTGAAGGTAAGGGGTTGCAAAAAGTTGACAAATTTATCTATGGTTTCATTGACTAAGTGTTGCAAGAAATTACAAAGTGTTGATGTAATGTATTGTTGTGGGATTGAGGCACATGGTGTTGAGTTATTTGTGTTGAATTCACCAAAGTTGAGACTGTTACAGGTTGAGGAAAATAAGGTTTCTGATGTGGCTAGGACATGGGCATCAAATAAATTCATTGAAGTTGTTCCTTGAAAATTGATTTAGCTGATGATAAGGTGTTTATTGTTCATAACAAATGCTGAAAAGGTAACATTTGATGCTTGTTATTTTGCTGCCATTGTACAGAACATCACAACTAAGATGCTTGTTATTTTGCTGTTTATGGACTCACAAGTATTAAGATGCTTAACTTCAGCTAAGATGGAGTAATAGTGCAGTTGAATTTAAGTACGTAGTTTGCAATTTACTTTGTTCTCACTTGTGTGTTCCATTAAGTATCAAAGGGAGATGCAATTATTTATCACAAACATCTCTTATATTAATGTAATCCTAATTAAATTTCTGGAAATAAAAATTCGAATAACTTGATTCGTAGTTGTATACATATGATACTTGAACTAACTTAAATTTTGAAGTTACTAGCCTGTGAGGAGAGCATTGTCCAAGGGGAAAATTTTCAAAACAACAATATTTTAGCTTTTAATGGTACCTCTTTAGCAATAGTTTCACTATTTATTTAAAATGTCAATATTTTAATTTGTTAAGGATTGAGTTATGTATTTATATTATTTTGATTAATTTGAAAGAATACAAATAATTAATAACTGAATAGAGAAAATCACGGTCAAAAAATTTCAAAAAAGGTAAAAATATTTTAAAATTTAACATCAGTTACGTTTTTGAAAGAGCATATGTTGCCATTTTTCTTTCTAGCGTTTTTTTCTTTGTTCTTAAGAACTTCAATTTTTTTTTGAAAACAGTAGTTTGTATTTAATATCTTATATGAGTGGAAGTGTTGGAAAATTTCTATTGCCCTCTGTTTTGGATATTTAAATGTTTGAACTTCTTTGAATATTTGTTCATCCGAAATATATTCGAATACCTAATGATATGTATAACTAATTTAAAATACAAAAAATGTTGGTATTGATTTATGATGAATACAACTCTTCAGCATTCTAGTTCAAGTACAAAAATAAAGGCAGTTGTGTAGTATATACCAAAATATAAATCACAAATTAGTTGTAGATCGAAATAATATTGAAAAATACAGTTGCGATGAATACATAATACATAGAATAAGTTGTATTCAAAA